GGTGCAGGCCTTCAACCACAATGCAAGAGTTCTCTAGGCTTCTCTCCCAGCTCTACTGACCTGGCCTGAAAGAGGAAGACTCTCCAGTCCGCAGTCTGCAGGCGGAAGACGTGTGGTCTCTTGGTGTACTCTGAAGCCTTCTCCGCCAGCGCGTGGTGCACGCTCACCACCTCCTCCGAGCTCTGCCAGTCCATGTGGTACTCGTTCTGAAAGCAGGAGTGGAGAGGGAGAGTGTTCATACAGGCTTGCCAGCCTACAAGCACCACCTTGACAAGCAGCCTGGCTGCAGCTCAGCGGATCTGAAAACCTCATCTCGATCAGCGCAGTTCGATAGCACCCTCTTTATGAGTGTAACACTAGCTAAAAATAACAAGTGAGAAGGCCTGTCTTTGGGGGACGACTGTGAAGACAGAAATGTGCCTCACTTTCTTGTGGATTTATCCTTATGAACTGGGCATTCCCATACTCAGTCAGAGAAGGGCTCACAATTCATCTCAGCACTGTCGAAATAATTGGAGACAACCTCAAGTTTTTTATTTTTGCATTTTGAATCCAACATGATGAACAATGTACATAGTTATAAGGGAATTTATTTAGTTCTGTAAATCTTTGCATAGTACTGGGACTCAACAGGAAGTGCTGGTACACAATAATCAAGACGAATAATCAATAATCGATTGAATAATCAAGGCTGGTGCAGTACACAGTGCAATACAGCTCTGATCTTGATGCAAGAAAAAGCTGGACACTGGTTAGAGAGAAAAAGCGAGCAAAAGAGATAAGAAATAAACAAATGAGGAAAGTAAGAGAAAATCGAAACTATGATGTCCCACAGTGACCCAGCTGCTGGTCTCCTGCATGGCGAGGCCAGAGCAGTTGCCAACAGGGGGCGGTGTCAGGCTGAGCTGACATTCGTACCTTCTGCAGGTAGAGCACCATGCCCTTCAGCACCGCATAGAATGTCTTCCAGCTTCTCTTCCCCCAGGGAGCTGGAACACAGAAAGAGCCTGTGAGACTTTCACACGGGGACTCTATACAGCACCCCACAGCAGAGCCCCAGGTGCACTGAGAGGGGCAGCTTGCCCAGTGCCCAGATGGCAGAAGGGAGGACAGATTGAATATTTAGCTAATTATGATGAACCTAAACCCAAGACCTTCAGTCTCATTCTGTCTCACGTTTCTCTTCAGTATAGAGTGAAGCTGATTCTTTAGCCACATGGCAACCGTTCAGAGAATACTGATCAGCATTACCACTGCAAGGCCCTAGTGACGGTGCTGGAATTAACCAAAAAAAAGGTCCAAATAATGTAAATGATGCACCCAATGTTGCACAATGGCTTTGTTAAAATTCCTTCTTTTCATCAATGGGTGCTTCCCAGACAGCTGAATGAGGAACTGAATGTGTTGTGCAGATCCAAAGACATCATGGGAACAGGTTTACAAAGGGAACCTGACACAAGTGTTCAAAATCTTCAAAGGACTGACAAAGTCAGCTCTGCAGATTTCCTCAGAATGCAAAAGGAAACCAGAGGACACAAGTGGAATCTACATTTAGAACAAGTCACCCAGCCATGTTGCTGAAGCTGATACCTTGGCTTCCTTCAATTAAAGGGGAACTGCAATGCCTTTATATTTCAGGGTGAGAAAGAATCAGCAGCGATGAATGCATTTCAAACCACAATAAAAGTCAAGTGTTCACAATTCATTTGAACATTGGATTGGTAACTTGGAAAACCTCCAATTTACATCACAAACATTTCCAGGTATGGGCCGTGCCGTATCCTGTGATTCAGAACGAGGCAACAAAACGTCCGCTGACATGAAGTGGCCCTGTTACATCGTAAACAGGCGGGCTTGTGAACACCTCTTTTAATCCAATGGAAATATTGCTCTCGACTTCAAGATGGTATTGCTGATAAACGGAACGTAATTGTTAACCCCGCATGCAGATCACGTCGGAACATTTCTGCAGCGAAGTCTGCTGCACAACCTCTACTTATATGCTTATACATGGCATTGCGTTAGCTATTACAGGGACTAGTGAGCAGGAAGGGCCGCATCACATCCCAATTACTGCAAACTCTCTGTCTCGCCCGTGGTGAAACCAGGGGTTTGTGACATCATGGCAACTTACAGCACTTTCACAAAGTTCACGATTTTTTGCTTAATTTAAAATTTGTCATCTTTTTCCATAAAGCCAATGAATGGATTTTGTTACAGAGATTTAAAAACCGGTCTCCTGTTTTCCCTTTAATGCCTGGATAAGATCCCTGGATCAATTGCCTACTAACTACCAACCAGACGAGCCTCCTCTCATTTAGAAGCCTTTTCTTCTCTTCTTTCCAGCTCAAAGTAAGACAAATCTCCCGCCTTCCTGTCTGATACAGGACACAGCGTTGAGTACCAGGGCACCAGTGTCCGGCGGTTCACTCACTCCTCTTCCCGTCGATGTCCGCGTGCGCCTTGCGCGTCAGGAACCCCTGCTTGAACACGGTGGCCTTCTTGTCGTGCGGCACGTCCTGGAAGGGGTTGCTCTTCGAGCGCAGCGGGGCGTCCTCCCCACTGTCCGCGGGCAGCAACAGCGAGCTCTTGAGCTCTTCCTCGTCGCTGGAGGATGAGGAGGAAGAGGGACCGAGAGAGGGAAGGGATGAGAGCAGGACGAGCCGTGAACCGAGGTGCCAGTTTAGTGAACAGAAACAGAGAGCAGAAGGTCGGCAAATCATGCAGAAATGCAGCGGATCACAGTGGCTCTCAACTAAACCCAACTCTGGATTTAGATTTTTTCCTGGCCTCTGACATTATTCCGCCTGCCTGGGATGGGAGTTCAGGTCCTACACATGCACTCTCTGCAGTTGTCCTGAGTTCTGTGGATGTCAGGAGGGAGGAGGCAGGGAGTGACTGTGAGAGCTTGCTTGTTTTAATTCAGTCAGAGATTACACGACTGTCCCCTTGATTCTAACCCCTATCCTCCAACATCCACAACCACGTACTGCATGTCAGTTACACTGAATTAGCTAGACAGGTACTTCTAGCTAAAGTAAAACCAAATTGTTCCTCATAAGACACAAAAATGACTAATAGCAGAGTAGGGGAGTTTATGTACATTGGAATTCTTATTCACACCAATCTCTCGGGACATACACAGTACAGCAGACAACATGGTACAACAGACAACACCACACAATGTAGACAGCGCATTCCAAACGTAATAAATAATAACCAGAACAATAAATATGTAGTAATGAAAGAAAAACAAGGTGGACCATGCAAAAGTGCAGACGTGCATTGAGTCTGAGGCATTGCAGTTAGCTATTGAGGATGCACACTGTGATGTTGATAGTTAAAAACAACCTTTCTGAGTCTCGACACACAGATTAAATGAAAAGGAGCACCAGGTGGTTGAGCTGCTACATCAAACAATGGACTAAACACCCCAAACATTAACTCAGGACAAGGCCCCTCATTCAAACGCAACACTACTGCTGCTTGATCAGGTGCAGCCAGTTACAGAATTGCTTGTTGCTAGTTGAATATGAAGCAGAAGGAGGTCTGTAGCACCACCAATCTAACAACATTCACAGATGAGACAAGATATGTCAGTGAGCATTATCGACACAGTACTTACAATGGATGGGGACTGGTGTTCAAGTAAAAATGAGTGAGTGTATGTGCCGGAGAAGACTCATGAGACACTGATGTGCCATTCAGAATTTAAAGGAACAAGTAAAGGTTTATTCCCTGATGAAAAGAGAATAAAAGACACCCGAAGAAGGCTCCACAGCTGAAACGTTGTGCTTTTCTTCTCTTTTCAGCAGGGAATAAACCTTTACTTGTTCCTTTGCGGCCTACGCTTGCTGATGCAGCAACCCGCCTTAACTCATTCAGAATTTCTGCAAGCCCTTCATGATCAAAATGCCTCCACCTTCACAATGACCTTGATTCACTGGGTGAAAAGTTACAGTTATGCCATGCTGATGGTCCCACATCTGCCTGCCAACTCTGACTTACTATACACAGAATTCAAAGCCTCTTCAGATCATCCTGCTCTCATTGAGAAATGTTCAGAGCTCACTGACATTCACATATCCCATAACTCTGTAGACAAGACAGAAGGCTGTTACTCACACTGCCCACTCCAGTGGCTCATTCTTTATGGAGTTGTACAGACCCTGAAAGAAGGGCAGAAGTCAAGACTGATCCCCGTCACACCCAGGCACACACAGTCTACAGTCGTAGAACGGCAAGGCACGAGCCTTTCCAAAAACCATGCTCTGCAGGTTTTTATCCGATTTATGCATTTATGAATTGGCTTCATCACTCTGTTCTCCTCACCACTGATAGATAATGTATGGCGAGCATGCCAATGCAATTCGGCTGCCATCACATCATCCAGGTAGAGGCTCCACATTGGTAAAGCACAAAGAGTGTCCAGAAGTGTCCTTCACTTATAGAAGTGTAAGGAATTATTATTATTACTACAATATCTGATATGTCATAAACCACTGGTACCACAACATATCTATAGGACTGGTAACTTGCTAAAGTAAATGTACAATCAATCTTTCTTTTAGGCATTACTGAACATAAGCAGTTAGCCCTAAGCATTTCCTTACCTTCAGTAGATCCTTGGGGAAGTTCTGCCCCTCATTCATCTTCTCCAGGTTGGACACAAAACTGTTGATCGACATGACTTTACCTATGTTCTAAATGCACAAAAAGACAAGCGGATTTATTGATTTATTGAATCCTTTTGTTACTTTCTTATTTTGTGCTTCTGGCACTCAGGATGAGTGAGGGGGTGAGCAGGCCTTTCGGCGAGATGAGAGCTAAGGTACAGGCAGGTGAATTAAGTGCTGGGTATGAAATCAGGGTTAGTGGCGACACTGCTGGCCCCAGTTGAGTACGTGCAGATCTCATGAATATGTGGTGGAACAGAAGTGAACACAATGGATTTAGTCGTGATGACAGGTGAGGGAGATTCTGAACATGTGACATTACCCACTCTCCTGAATGCCCTAGTGATGCTCATTTACAGGGCTGTTCCTGTCCTGCAGAGAATGGCACCTGGTTATCCCCAATTCATTTAGAAATAAGGGAAAATAAGGTTGTTAAAAAGCATAATGCACTCGGACACATCCTGCTGCATTCTAATGCAAATAATTATCTAAATACACTTTCCAGCAAATTAATCCATACAAATAAACACATTATTTTTAAAAATAATACACAGTGTGTGCAATTAAAAACAGTTACAAAGCCTAGGAATATTCAGAATTAGCACATTAAGAGGTGAAAGGTGACATGTGTGCTTAAAGTGAACCACAGGTACTCCTCTGTCTGCTGAGGTTTTGTACAGCTCTGAAGTTATTCTTGGCTCTTAAACTAGAAATGCATAAGGTGTGAAAACAGGGTGGAAAGTAAAAATCTCATGAATAACTGTGTCATTGAAAAGTCATAGTTTTCAAAGAGGAATCAAACTCCTGGGCACCTGCAGACTGGCCTGTAGAATTTGCAAATTCCAAAACTTTTGAAAGTGTGGTTAGAGGGGTCGTTTATGATCTCAGACCACTCTGGCAAACAACTGGGACCTTGTATGTTCTGCATCGAAGTTCAAAATTATGACACCTTATGTGCTGTCAGGATGACAGATTATCACAAGCTGCACTCGCAAGAGCTCAGCAAACCACAGGATTGCTGAACAATATGTGCCTGTGCTGTTCTGAAGCATCTATTTAAAAGAGGACACAGTGCTCACTGATCTGTTTGAACAGCCATATCTTGCTCACAGGCACATATGACTTGCGCTAACCAACACATCTAATGGAATCTGCTGGAATGGACTAATGTGCTTTTCTCTAATGACAATAAAAACCCAGAGAGCAACCTCTGGGGTATGACTGATCATCAAGCTCTTGTTCTTGAAAAGCACCCTAAAGTCCTAGCAGAGCATGACTGGGAGCTGCCATTCCACATTGTTAGGCTTGAGTTGGGCTAATGATGTGTTGATGCAATGCAGTCTTTGCTATTAGGGGCAGGTGTACACAATATTGAAACTGTGACATCTTAGTCTGACCTCATCTGGGCAGGAATAGTTCAAACAGCCTGGATTACTTTTAGTTTGAAAATTGAACACAATTGCCTGTAAACAACTGAAGTACAATACTATCTCAGTGCCATGGGTTTGTACTGAAAGGTAAGAGGTCAGAACAAAGCCATGTCATTTGTGTGGTTCGTTATGCTGCTTAAGTTCAAGCCAGGTGCATTAAATGCAACTGCAATATCATCCTGGCTGTTTGAGCTCCACCTGCCCAAAGATGTTATAGTTTTAGTATCAGGTACATCTGCCCCTTGTAGCAAAGACTGCATTGCATCAACAAATCTTTGGCCAATCAGAAGTCAAACTTTCCATACATGCTCTGCTATGGCTTAAGATGGCCTTTTAAGAGCAAGAGCTTGATGATCAGTGATATCTCAGTGGTGGCTCTCTGAGATTTATTTTCATCAGGGAAAAGCACATTAGCACTGTTCCTTCTACGGCTGAAGTGCATGCCAGGTGCATTAATGCAACTGCACACTTACCTGTCCGTGAAGATCAGTGTTCAGCAGCATGATGGCGCATGTTAGAGTGAGCACCGCGCCTGGAGGAAGGGAGACACAAAGTAATACAGAAAGGAGAGAGGGAGAGAGTTGGTATTCACATCATGCCACCATCCTGGTTATAGATCTCATTCTGCAGTAGAAAATAAAAGCACTTTCACCCTGCTGACAAACAGATTTGTCTCCACAATCCCAAGAACGCTCAGGGTGACACGCTGGTGAAACAGGAAGGGTGCAGGAGCAAGAGAGCTGCAGGCAGTGAGGTGCAGGTGAGTGCAGCACAGGTGGAAGTCCTCACCTGTGGAGCTGAAGGTGCTGGGGTTGCAGTGGTGGTAGCGTTGTGCAAAGTGCTCCAGTACTCGCTCTCTCTCCTGCGTCTCGCCGATCAGCACCACCACCTTCAGGAAGGACCTGGGGCAGAGCAGAGACAGGCGGGCATCAGGTCTCTGGTGTAGCCGACACACTTTGCCATAAACAATGGGACTGTCCCTACACCTTGGGATTCACTTCTTTCAGCAATTACAACTGTACAAGATGCATATGCATTTATTCAAAACCAGTTCAATTCTCAGATTAAAACTGAATGTCAAATATGCTACGTTTATACTCATGGCCCCCTCAACTCACCTGAGTGCCTCATCAAGCGTCTGCTCCGAGAAATCGAAGAACTTCAGATACTCCTCCCCTACAGCACTGCAGAATGCATTGCTGGGAAGAAGAGACAGAGAATCTTGACACACTGAAACCTCTCCTCTCTCTGATCTTGTGTCACACTGAACCCTCTCCTCTCTCTCTGATCCTGTCTCACACTGAACCCTCTCCTTTCTCTCTGATCCTGTCTCACACTGAACCCTCTCCTCTCT